GTTACACTTTAAAGTTAAGCCGCATGTTTTTCTTGGGAGGAGTTAGACATAAATTAATGAAACTTGTGTGTGTTTCTACAGGAACGTTGATCCTGGCGTTCAGTATATTGGCGGTGCAGGGAGGGATCGTCCTGTGGAACCTCATAGCCCTTAGCGTCATCTTCATAGTGTGTCTCCTTCTCGTCTTTGTCATATGGAGACAGCCTGAAAGCAAAACAAAGCTTTCCTTCAAGGTTTGGTTTGCAAACTTTTCAGCACTATATGGGTAATGTTTKCTGCGTGTTGACGCAAACCTGTTTTCTTCTGCAACAACTTAGGTTCCCCTGGTGCCGTTCATCCCAGTGATCAGCATGTTTGTTAATGTCTACCTGATGATGCAGCTGGATCGAGGCACTTGGGTTAGATTTTCAGTCTGGATGGCTATAGGTGGTTATACTTTATTATTTTTCAAATACTGCTTTGTGTAAAAATTGAGTCTAGTGTAAGTTTAGACCCATTATGTCCTGATGCAGCTCAATAAAAAAGTCCTCTGGACGAGTTTTTCTTTTCATACGTTGCGGGAGTTTCAGAGAAACTGAGATGTTTATTTTCTAAACATGACGTTCTGGTGACTTTCAAACCCCAAAATACATTATGGCAAAGACTGGTTCACCCAAAGGATCCAGTGTCCCGGCACAAACAGAGTAATGTATACACTGTTAAGTGCCAGGAGGACTGTGACCATTTGTGGAAATAAAGCAGTCACTGGCCAAAAAGATGACTCAGCACAGAAGRGCARCATCATCAGGCCAGGATTCTCCAGTCTACACTCATCTTCAGGCCAGCAGTCACTCTTTCAGTGATGAAAATGTTMTCATCCTTGATAAGGAGAAACACTTGTTTGAGAGAAAAGTAAAGGAAGCCAKTTTTTATGAAGAAAAACYGTCCGTTGTTAAATAARGGTGGAGATCTCCAATTGTACCCCTCTGACAATGCTGTTATTGCRAACATGACTCAGCCCTCTGTGACCAGCAGGCAATAATCAGGGCCCTAATGATCARTCATTAGGCCAATGGTCCTCTTTGCATTTGAACAGTTTTRATTGRCATTGTTAACTTTTCTGTTCGTCGTGGAAGTACTGCTTCCACAGTAGTTTGCAGTTTGAGTTTATCTGTAGCTCCTCAGACTGAAGAAGTCTCTTGGAGAAGAGGCAAAATGTTTTTTCAACAAAGAAGAACCTGTCCAGAGGACCTAMTCAAYKTTGATAGATTYAGACCCATCGCTTATTAATGTCATTGACAATGTAAAACCAGGATCAGTCAACAGCCTTCATTTTTGAGTTCATTGCCTCATGAATAATCTCAGACCTGTTCAGAATTTTCTCTGAGAATGTTTCGTTTTGCTCTTTCAATGCAGGTTTAGCGATCTACTTCTGCTATGGCATTCACCACAGCTCCGAGGCAGCTTTGGCCCACCCCTCTATAGAGACCGAGATGAACGGCTTCAAGCTCAGTCGCGAACTGGATGCCATGTTGACGGAAAAAGAGGCCTTTCTCCACGATGGCATTGACGTTAGGGAAGAACACGATGGGGATTTGTAGCGAGTGTTAGYGACACCAGTCTGTTTGTGTAGGAGGGTTTTTTTTCTGTCAGTCCACTCCTCCTTCACTGGTGGTGCTCCATTTAGTGAAAAGCTTAGATAAACAACCTATGACTTTTCCATTCAGCTGCTCCTCAGAACACAGACAGCAAGTGATGCTCCTCATGTCAAAGCAGACTTCTACAGCCATAATTGAAATATTCTGCACTGTCAATATTTTGCTGGTTTATTATCTCTTTTGCTTGGCCTCTGTTTCAGCTGCTCATTATCGCTTGGCTGTCTGTGGAGCTGTGGGGGTGGGGCTCGTATTGTAGACACGGAATGTGGTAGTGTTTAATGAGGGTTCAGAGACGGGGCAAGACCATGTTAAATCTCTCTTCACGTTGGGGTTTTATTTACTTCTTTCGAGTGTGTCTGGGTTACATTGCTGGCAGTAGGACTGGACCCAGATGTCTGGGTGCCAGAAACGTCTGCAGTAATAGTTTTGTATTTTGCTTTTGTCTGATAAAAGATGTGTGTACATATTTGAAACCATGTCAGTACTAGAAACAAGTTGGTAACAGTGCTTAAATTCTCTGAAACCAGTCTTAGGAGCCATCAGCTTTTGTCTGAAGACTTAAGCTTTGGGAGACAAATAGGCCTGTCTCAATAAGCAATAAATGAATTAATCACACAATAAGTTAAAATGAAGTCAATAAATTAAAAATAGGTCAATAATTTCCATTTATTCTGTTTGTTTTCTACGTCTCCATCTTTTCTATGCGTTAGTGTAAGGAGTGAACTCTCGCGTCGGGTATTTTCCAGGTGCATGGTCTCGTAACCTCTATAGCATGAGAGCCCAGTGGACAGACATTTAGCTAGACGAGAATCTTCGGTTCGCTGTTGATGCCTCAGGACGCCTCCAGGGAATCATGCCGAACTTCATGTTCTCAAAGAGTTTTTATTTTTTACACTACATARACTTGTGCAAACTTTGTAAGMAGCATGCGGAAAAACCACAATTATTTTATGAAGCCAGAGGAAGACAAATAAAGAATAAGTTGCGCTGGCTTGGGTAGAGGAGGTGGGGAGTGATTTTACAGCTTCTGCAGCTGYTGTTGTGTTGTTTTCCCAATCTCTGGTCCAAGCCAGTTTGTGACCTTTTTTACATGAATTTTGCTACGTAAGCGTGCAGGGGTATCATTTAATTAGTTTAAAATAGTCTCCAAACCAAATTATTGTTCATAGCAATAAGTTCTGAGACAATTTGTCATCCARCAAAATTAGTATTGTGACAGGCCTAGGCACAACTACCAAAGCTGAGTCATTAGACAACAGCCAGTGGTTTAAAGATGCTGTTTCATTCAAAGTGTTTTAATGTCTTTTGTTCTTTGTTGGTTTATGTAATGTTAACCAAAGCCCAATGAAATGTGATCTGTCAGTTCTACAAAATAACAAAMAGAAAGCACAGCCGAGTTAAAAATATTATTTTCTGTTGCATGTAAATTGAGCATATTCATCAGCAGATGTCTTATTGAAGAACATACAATAAGCCTAACGTCAGTCGTCACAGGTAAGTTGAATAAGTACAATGATCTTAAACTTAACAGGAATGTTTGTCAGGTATRGTTACACATTTTCACAGTGCTGGCTGCTGTTAAAAAGTAAAACAAGCAAACATTTTGCCAACTGTCCTAGTATTTCCATCTGGAAGTATACGTAATGTTATCAATTTGACATTCTTCTTTTTTTCTTTTTCCTTTTTTTTTTTGTATCAATGTGTTTTACCCATGATCTAAAAATATCACTTGTATCCAAATGATTCAGTTTAATGTACTTTACAATAAATCAATACCCTCAAAACATCTAAGATAAAGAATTTGGTACAAATCTGTATTTTTTTCTATTCATTTTTTTTGTCATTAAAATAAAAATGCCAACCCTTTGTGAATTTGTTGTGTTTTGGTAATCCTTTACAACAAAACAAGTAGCATTAAAGTGTATTTAAGATTTCTATAGTTCTTGCAGTAAAGTATTTTCAAATGCAAAACATGGCTTTCTGTTTTTTTAAGCAACTTTTGCAGCATGTTCTGTATTGAGTTTGGGACACTTCTTTGCAATTGGTGCAACTCGTTTAACCTTGTTAAACRGAGCATTTTTATGTTTTACATTTATTACTAGTCCTGGTGTTAAGCTGCTAAATTTTTGTTTATGTAACTTATTTCAGGCGTTTTTTATTTTTGTGCCTTTTTTGATGTCTTTGGACAATACTTGATCTGATCTATAAATGTGTCTTTTTGGTCAGTCATCAGTTTGCCCTAATCCAAATAAACAAAAAACGCACTGCTTCCCTCGTCACCCAATCAGAACTTTCTAAAAGGGTTGCCACYCTTTCATGCTAAAATTATTCTTGCGTATAAATTTAGCACAGAAAGTAAGGGAATTTGTGTTTGGTGGATTATTTCTTTGTGATCACAATGCTTCTTGGCAATAAATCTTATACCGTGTCAATAACAACAGCTGCTTAGCAGAGAAGATTTGGCCAATGTTTCATGTGCATAACTTACATACTCAGCAACTGCTCATCCCACAAATGCATGCTCCTTACAAATGTAGCACCATTTAAAAGGGACGTTAAGGCTTTCCAATGGTATATGTATTGCCAATAAATTTTGTTACAMCAAAGAAAACACCTACCAAATACAATTTCCTTTGTGTTAAATATATATGCATTGAGGTGATTATGAATGTTAAGTTATACCTTACATGAATAATCACAGCTGTTCATGTCTGCCTCCAACATGTGGAGGTTGTAGTTTTGAAAAATGGCATCATTAGTTAGTACTATTTTCCAGGTCATGGCAGTCACCAAATTAAAAGTCCCACTTCCCTGTTTGTTTTTTTAATAATTCACGTTTAGAAAATATCAGTTTTAAGCTACTTCCTGTTTTATCCAGCAGAGGGCAGGAGAGTGCAAGGAGAAAATGAAAAGCCCAGCCGCGCGTGTGTTTACCTGTTTCCTGTTACCTGCACCTTTCACTCAGGACTCCTTTTGGGAACCACAGACTGCGACTAACATGGTAGAGCGCCAATTATTTTTGTTAGGTTTAGGGATAGCAGGTTAATTAAATTCGGGTTTTGGTTAGCTATCCGAGTTGGTAAGATTTAGTAAGAGTCTGGTTTAGGTTACGTCAGTGCACGGTCCTCATAAGGCCAGAAATACAAACCTCTGTGTGTTTGTGCGCGCGTGTGCGCACACCTGCTGTCGGCTGCAGCATCAGCACCACTCCTCCTCCTCCTGCCTGCAGYCCACCTCTCTCCTCGCGCAGTCATAGAGCGCGAGCAGTCAGCAGCGCCACGCGGCTTTGTTTGTTCCGCAGCTCCTGCGTTTATCACCGAGCCTATTCAATGACTCCGCAACAACAACAACAAACCATACAAGTAAGTCGCACCACTAAAACATCCTGCTTTTTATTTTAATATTATTTTAATTTTATTTTTTATTTTTCATTTTTTGCAACGACGCGGCGGAGGCCAGCGTTGGTTTGGAGAAAACGTGTCGCACTTAGATGAGGATTACAGGCTCTCCCGGCTGCTGTTCGCACTGCAGCTCGGTGAACCTTTAGAGGAAGTGTGTGTTTTATGTGACAGATGAGCTGCAGGTTGTATTCCGGGCTGGTGGTGGTGGTGGGGTAACTGGTGGGGATGATGGAGGGGGTGTGGGGTCATCAGGGGGGAGAAGAAGTGATGAATGGAGCAGGTCAGAGCTATCTAACAAGCACATACACATGATTTGACCTCAGATATGAATCTGAGACCTATATATTTTCTTTTTCTGCTTCAGTTTTATAGTAGATGTATACTTTTATTACTTGTATTTATGGCTTACATTTGTGGCATTGCTGTAATCTCTTTGCAAATGTTTTTTTTTTTTGCCCATTTAATTTAAAGAAAGAGAGAGAAAATAAAGAAGCATGAAGGCCTTTCCTGCACATTCASTTATTGTTTATTGTGTCTGATATTGAAGTCAGAGAAAGCCTGAGGCGTGCATGCTGCATTCCTGTGTTAGTCACTGTTGTTCTACCTTCTCACCTCATCCTGGTGC